TTTCCCTGCTCAAGGTATCAAAGAATCCCTTGGCAATGTTTTTCAAAATAAAAATGCCACCTGGGGGATCAGCAGGTAGTGTAGCGGCTAAAGCACTAGACTTCCATGTGGTCATTGGTTCAAGTCCTGGACCCAACAGCTCAAAACTCATGCCAGGCATGTGTATGTGCATGCCTAAGATCCTGAGAAGAAAATGTAGGAGAAAGGACTGTGGCATGGCTATCCACCCAGGGGATGACTTCTTGCTTTCTGTCTCTGGCAAGCACATGTTCCCTATATGGAAAATCAGCCTCTCGGGACCTTGCTTTAGCATAATGGCTATGTCGCTGGACTCCCACGTAGTCAACCGTGGTTCGCGTCCTGGACCCGGTGGCTTAAAACTCACGCCAGGCGCGTGTGCGTGTGTGCCCAAGATCCTGAGAGGAGAACAGAGGAGAAGGGTCTGTGGAATGGCCATACCCCCTGGTGGGGGGTGATATCTCACTTTCTATCTCTCTGTCTCTCTGTCTGTCTGGCGAGCGCACGTGCCCTATAGCAAGAACCTCTCAAAAAAAAAAAAAAAAAAAGAAAAGAAAAGAAAAGAAAGAAAATCAGTCTCTCAAAGGAAAAAAAGTCAACTGTTAAGACTCTAAAGTCAATGTATGTGATGAGGAGAGGAGCTACTGATGGAGAATAACTCTGATTGGGGTGTTTGAGCAATTAAATGGGGCACTTTCCATTAATAAGATCTCAAAAATCATCCATGTGTCATTGTAGCACATTCATGCAAGTATGCTATTATAACTCATGCACCCATTAATCCACTCATCACCTGAATTTTTAAAGCCATCACTCAGTAGACTCTTCATTCTGATAATAAAGTCCACAAAGCCTTGCTGATTCATTTAAGTTTCATGTGTTTAAGTACACAGTTTCAGTATTTTTCTTGACTACAAATTTTCAAAACATAACCTGCTAGATCTAGTTAATGACTATTAAATTTGGACACTTGTCAACAGACATCCAAGAAAGCTGACTGAATCAATGTATGAATGAACAAACATTTAAGTGGAAAAAAGAAATTAAAAAAAAAAAGACATAGAGTAATCTTTCCTCTGATGGCCCCAAAACAGTTAACTGATCTCACTGTTCTCTATTTGCTAGACAGTGCATGAGCTCACCAGAGGAAAAGGGAGAAAACACATCCTCAGTAGGAATGGTCATGCCTCAATCTCTTATCCTCCACTGCTCCATCCTGTAGGGACTTGGGACACGCATGGACACATGCCCAGCATGTTTTTCAAGCTGCCAGGGCCAGGCTTCAAACCATGGTTGGCTTCATTCATGGGATCTGGTTATCCTTTCCTACCAGGCCAAGGGTCTGGGCTGACTGACCAAGCTCTTTTTTTTTTTTTTTTTTTTTGAGAGATGTTTTTTTGCTATAGGGCGCATGTGCTTGCCAGACAGATAGAGAGAGACAGAGAGACAGAAAGCGAGAAATCACCCTCCAGGGGGGATGGCAACGCCACAATCCCTTCTCCTCCACTCTCCTCTTGGAATCTTGGGCACGCACACACACGCGCCTGGCATCAGCTTAAGCCACCGGGTCCGGGACACGAACCACGGTCGACTACATGGGAGTCCAGTGACATAGCCATTACGCTAACTGCTGGTCCCGACTGACCAAGTTCTTACCAACATACTGAAAGACACAGACCAGCTGATCGTGTGGTGATTAAGACACTGGATCTTACTTGGCTGAGTGGTTTGAGTCCTAGACCTGGTGGCTTAAAAAACTTGTCAGGTATGTACACATGTGTGCCCAAAATCCCAAGAGAAGAATGGAAGAGAAGAAACTGTGGAGTGGCCATCCACCTGTGTATGGGGGATGACGTCTCACTATAGTGCACACACCCTATAGCAACACAGAACCCTGACCTTAAGACAGGACTCTGACACAATCACTTACAAGTCAAATGTAAAAAACAGCAAGAACACTTTATATTAATATTTCAAAGTAGAGACAAACTAAATGGTATTTGATGAGGAATATTGTCAAGAAAGTCTTCACAGAGAAACTTGAGGCTAATCTCACAGGACAGGAAGCCTCAGATGGGCTTTATTCACCTCACATTCAAACCTGGGAAGTAGGGAAGAGGCCCCGTGTGTGCATCAGGCACTGGGAGGACAGCCTGAGAGCTGTGGGTCATTCAAAGTGGCTCAAATGCCCTGGGCTGAGAAGCCCATTTTAAGCCGGAGCCAACACAGAACCGCTGGCAAGTGCCCTAGCCATTCTGCACAATAAGCAGCAGTCACTGGCAGTGTGGACCAGACAGCAACACCCATGATGGCCAGGGAGCAGAACGTGGGAGACTGGAGCTGAGAAACAGGATGGGGAGCAGACTGCCCAGAAAGAGTCAGGGTTAGGGTTGGGGTTAGGGCTAGAGTTAGGTGAAGCCAGGGTTAGGGTTGGGGTCAGGGTCGGGGTTAGGGCTAGAGTTAGGTGAAGCCAGCATTCTATTTTTTCTCTAGAAGGCTGACTCACTGCATTATAAAACAGGCTTTGTATTAGACAACCCTGATCAAATGTAAGCTAATCTAAGGGTTCTGCACACACTTAAGGTAGGCTGGGTAAGCTATAATGTCTGGTAGGCTAGGCTTATTAAATGCATTTTCAACTCACAGTATTATCAACTTATGACAAGTCTGTTGGAATATAAACACATCATTGCGTGAGCACCATCTGTAAACTAAAAAAAATTAAATAAACAGCTACAGTACAGTGCTGAAAGCAGGTGTTTCTGAGAACAGCAACTCTGAATGCAAGGACAGTTAAGCCAATATGAATTCATTCACAAATCCTCTATAGCATTTTCTTCTTTATTTATTGATTATTACTTATTTTATACTCAATTGCTATATGACATTTAGCTTGTATAGAGAACTTATCCAACATGAAATACACCTCTGACCAGTGCAGTTGAGAACACCATACATGTTACCAACAGGTCTCTGTAGCAGTTTTCTAACTGGAGAGAAGAAACTCTCAGAACAATGGTGGATGATGAGCCCTGAGCCCCACTGTAAAGTGTACAAAGAGAAGAAAAGCCGTAGGAAGGGGCCGCAGTAAAAGAAAAGAGGCAATAATGAAAGAAATGGTTGTACACAAAAGAGAACGGGACACTAGTTAGTGGAAATAATCAGGAAAGTGACAGAAATCGGGCTGAGAAGACACGACAGCAAAGATCATCTTAATGAGTAAGACCACTTTGTCTCTCAATGCAAACTCAAGTGTGACAGGAAGATAGAAAGAAGACTGGTGGGCCAGCCAGTGACATGGTAGTTAAGGCAACTGAATCCCACATGGCCAACTATGCAGCTTGAGTCCTGGACCTGGTGGCTTGAAAAGTGTTGGTTGTGGGACCAGCAGTTAGTGTAATGGCTATGTCACTGGACTCCCATGTAGTTGACCGCGGTTCGAGTCCCGGACCCGGTGGCTTAAACTCATGCCAAACACGTGTGTGTGCGTGCCCAAGATCCCGAGAGGAAAATGGAGGAGAAGGGATTGCGGTGTGGCCATCCCCCCCGGGAGGTGATTTCTCACTTTCTATCTCTCTGTCTCTGTCTTTCTGGCGAGCGCACGCGCCCTATGGGAAAAACCTCTCCAAGAAAAAGTGCTGGTTGTGTATGCATGTTTGCCCAAATCTCGAAAGGAAGGCTAAATGGATAAAGGACTGCTGCATGACCATTCCCCATGGGAGTGTTTTCTCTCTCTTTCTATCCTTCTCTCCAGCAAATCCACGCGTCTTCCAGCAAAATTGGAAAAAAAAAAAAAGAGAGAGAGAGAGAAAGAAGACTGGCACTAGGGAGACAGGCGGTACATGAACTCAGTCTTCTCAGAAACAAGGACTGGGGTGCAGTACCAGGGACCACGACTTCAGAGGCTCCCCCCTCTCACAGGTCAGCCGGGCTACCGCCTCTACCCTCACCTGGATAGGTCAAATGGTGAGCTCTTCTCTCCACTAGCCAGGGCTCACCCGCTTTCTCCAACTGGAGGATCATGTCTGGCTTAGGAAGCCGATGCCCTGTTCACCATGAAAGACCGAGAACTGAGTAAGTGGGGTAAACACAAAGAAGCCTCCTGGATTCAACCAAACCCCCAGCCCCTCACAATACAGGGAAGATGAAGGGGTCTTCAAAGACTGAAAATATGAAATGCAGAAACAGTGAAATAAGTATTCATTTTTTAAAATCTAAGAAATTGGGAACCAGCAGATGGTGTAATGGTTACGTTGCTGGACTCCCATGTAGTTGACTGCAGTTGGAGTCCCAGATCTTGTGGCTTAAAAACTCACGCCAGGGACCAGCAGTTAGCGTAATGGCTATGTCGTTGGACTCCCATGTAGTCGACCGTGGTTCGAGTCTCAGACCTGGCGGCTTAAACTCACGCCGGGTGCATGTGTGTGCATGCCCAAGATCCCAAGAGGAGAATGAAGGAGAAGGGATTGTGGCGTGGTCATCCCCCCTGGGGGGTGATTTCTCGTTTTCTGTCTCTCTGTCTCTGTCTTTCTGGCGAGCACACGCACCCTATAGCAAAAACCTCTCCCCCCCAAAAAAAAACTCATGCCAGACACATGTATGTACATGCCCAATATCCGAGAGGAGAATGGAGGAGAAGGGATTGTGGTGAGGCCATACTCCCCGGGCAGTAGTGGGGGAGGGGTGGCTATTTCTCACTTTCTGTCTCTCTCTCTCTGTCGAGTGAACACACCCTATGGCAAAAATCTCTCTTAAAAAATAATAATAAATCAAATCAGGGACCAGCAGATGACATAATGGTTCTGTTGCTGGACTCCCATGTAGTTGACCACTGTTCAAGTCCCAAACCTGGTAGGTTAAAACTCATGCCTGATGTATGTTCATGCATGCCCCAAATCCCAAGACATGAGTGGAGGAGAGGGGATTGCAGTGTGGCCATCCTCCTAGGGGAAGTGGGGTGATTTCTCACTCTCTCTCTGTCTCTCTGGTGAGCACATGTGCCCTATAGCAAAAATCTCTCTATAATTAAAAAAAAAAATTAATCAAATGTACTGTAAAACCAAGAGTACAAAACCTGTCTCTACATCCCAGAGATTAGGCTCCTAACCCAGGCACATGCTCTTCGGGGTCTTTGTATCTTTTGATCAACAAAGAACTGGAATCACCACGGCAAGTGTAATTCATGAACAAAGGTGGCTCTTACCCAAGGAGAGCAGGTTCCTGTAGTTCTCCAGCATCACATCTCTGTACATGAGCTGCTGTGCTGTGTCCAGCAACTTCCACTCCTCCCTGCTGAAGTCCACAAGTACATCCTGGAAGGTCACCAGTGTCTGTAACGTCAAACACACCTGCATGGGGTGGGACACAGGTTTCTGTTCTCCTTTTCCTGACCCTAACAGAGAGGTAAGGCTAATAGCACTGGGGTAATGAAAGAACAAGACCAGAACATGGTCTAGCAGTGAGGAGCACTTTGAGAGATTCCGGCCAAATTTTATTTATTTATTAACTTTATATATCATTATTAATTATTTTTTAAGAGAGGTTGTCGTTATAGGGCGCGTGCGCTCGCCAGACAGACAGAGAGACAGAAAGCGAGAAATCACCCCCCCAGGGGGGATGGTCACGCCGCAATCCCTTCTCCTCCATTCTCCTCTCGGGATCTTGGGCACGCACGCACAGGCGCCCGGCGTGAGTTTTAAGCCGCTGGGTCTGGGACGTGAACCGCGGTCGACTACGTGGGAGTCCAGCGACATAGCCATTACATTAACTGCTGGTTCCCTCATTATTAAATTTGCTATAGGGCACATGCGCTCACCAGAGAGAGATGAAAGATTAAAAGCGAGAAAGCAAACCAACAGACAGCTCTGGGTTTCAAACCATGGTTGATCAGGTGGGAGTCAAGTGCCTCAAACAGAACGGCTCTGGGACCAGCAGTTAGCGTAATGGCTATGTCGCTGGACTCCCATGTAGTCGACCGCGGTTGGAGTCCCAGACCCGGGGGCGTAAACTCACG